CTCCCTCCACCCCCTCCACCCTTCCCTATTTACAAAGATTTGTTTCCATGTTTTTCCCTTTCTCATATTTTATTCTTTTCCCTTCTTACCTTTCCCTTACCCCTTGTACTTCCCCTACTCCTTTACACCTTTTCTTCTTATTACACAATATCAACTATGCATTTTGATCCTTACTTACACTTTCAGTTTTTTACACTAGAGAAACTTTGATATTTACACATGTGTCTTACTAATTTCACTTGAATATGTCCTCAATGTGCATCCACTTAACTATAAATGTCTGTAGTTTCTCATTGAGTAGTACTACATTTTATTTTTAAAAATCACATCTTTATCCAGTCTCCAGTTGATGGGCGTTGGGCTGTTTCCAAGTTTTAGCTATTGCAAACTGTGCCACTATAAACACAGGTGCACATATATCTCTGTGATATGATTCTTTTACTTCTTTTTGGAAGATACCCAGCAGAGGGATGGCTGGGTCAAATGGAACCTCTAATCCTAGTTCTCTGAGGTATCTCCATATTGATTTCCACAGTGGTTGTACCAGTCTGCACTCCCACCAACAATGAAGAAGGGTCCCTTTCTCCCCACAACCCCACCAGCATTGTTTATTGGTTGATTTCTTGATAGCAGCCATTCTTTCTGGGGTGAGGTGGAATCTAAGTGTTGTTTTCATCTGCGTCTCTCGAATGACCAGTGATGTTGAACATTTTTTCATGTTTATTTGCTGCTTTTACTTCTTTGAGAAATGTCTGTTCATTTCAGATGCCCGTTTTTTAATTGGGTTTTTTAATTTGGGGGGTCTGATTTTTTGGAGCTCTTTATGTATTCTAGATAATAGTCTTTTGTCTGAGGAGCAGCTGGTAAAAATTTTTCCCGACACTGTAGGTTATCTCGTAGCTCTGATGGTGGTTTCCCTTGCAGTGCAAAAGCTTTTTAAAAAGATGAGATCCCAGTTATTGATTCTTTATGCTAGTTCCCATGCTACTGAGAATTTGTTGATAAAGTCTTTTCCTATGCCAGTATCTTCAACAGTTCTACCTAATTTATTTTCCAGCAAGTTTAGTGTTTTTGTTTTAATATTTAGATTTTTTTTTTAAACCAGAACCATAACAAGCCTTTATTATGGGGAGGATCTGCTGGGCTGCCTCTGAACAAAGGAGGAAAAAACCAACATTTAGATATTTAATCCACTTGGATTTAGTTTAGTGCATGGTGAAGGATATGGGTCTAGTTTTAATCTTTGGCAAGTTGAAGTCCAGTTTTTTCCAGCACCATTTATTAAAGAGGCTATCTTTCCTCCAGTGAGGATGGTTGGCTCCTTTATCAAAGATGAGAGATTTTAAATTAAATTCTACAATGAAAATGCAGTGAGCTGGGTATTGTGGTGCCCACCTGTAATCCCAGCTATTTAGGAGGCTGGGGCAGGAGGATCACAAATTTGAGGCCATCTCAGCAAGACTTTGTCTAAAAATAAAAGTGAAAAGACCTGGGACTGTGGGGGCACTAGCATATAGGTTCAATCTCAAATACCACCCCCTAAAAAAGTAGTAGGTGTGGGTGTGTAGCAAAGCTATAAAATGTGCAATCCTAGTTTAGTACAAATTCCATCATCTGGAACCAGGGACCTGCATACTTTTTGCTAAAAGGAGCCAAATAATAGACTTTTGAGGCCTTGCAGTTCATGGAAGGCTATTACTATATCTATATCTAGATATAGATATAGATAGAACTTTTTTTTTAAATGCAAAAATCACCTTTTGAGCCTTGATTTACGTAAGTGGGATCTGGCTCTCAGTCTGTAGTTGTTGCCCTGTCTGGTGTGGGATATAGGCAAGAAATGAAAATCAGAGAAACTAAGCATCTGAACATCTGAATCTGTTGTCAGAAAAGAGGTGCAGGACCCACCAGGCAGGCTGTTGGGTTAGTCTGAGCAGCAGTGCTTGCTCTAACACGTGTACTGGAAGTGGCTTTTGGAAGTTTGTGAGGCAAGGGGGCGCTTCTCAGTCTGACGCAGACCGAGCACCACAGCACTGCACTGATGAATGAGATACACAGACACAGTTCTAAGGGAGCCATGAATAAGTGGCCCCAAACGTTTCAGTAGCCCCATGTGTGTCACAGTGTAATACAGTTTTGCTTTAGTACCTTCTCATATGCCAGTAGTTTATGTGCAGTAATTTAATCGTTAAAAGAACTTTTGGGGAACATTGTTTCATCCCCTTTGTTACAGAAGAAACTGAGGTTCCAGGATATTAAATGACTCACTCATGAGGGTTGCAGGGAATGGAAGCAGAGAGTTGAATCTGAATCCACATTTGCCTGAAACTTCCACAAATTGTTGGTTTCACAGTTAGAATAGGTTCCAGTGCTTAACGGGCCAGAGGTTTAGCTCAGTGACACTGAACCTACCTTGCAAGTGCAAGGTCCTAAATTTGATCTCTGTATCAAAAAAAAAAGGTCCTTCATCCTGAACCTTGCCCTTTGTAGGAGAACCCCTTCCCCTGTTGTGCTGACTAGATGGCTCACTGCTCTTACATGGTTTATTTATAGTTGGTTTTTGTGTCTTCTTTTTCCTGGCCAGCGGGCTGCCCAGCCTTGCTCCTTGTTCCTCTCAGAAGTTGCATTGGGTGTGGGGTTTTTTTCTTCTTCTTTTTATTGGCTTATGTGTTTAGATTCACTAGGGAGGATGGTTTTCATTTTTTATAGATGTAAGTCTTTGGGTTGTTATTTCCTCAGTGAAATGATCTGGACACATTACCTAGTGCTGCCATGTAGGCCCAGACCTGGCAGGGGCCAGTTTCACCTCTGACCTCTCCTGTCTCCCTTTTTCTGTCTTCTGGTCTTGTCCCAAGGTCCTATCTATAAGAACACTTGGCCCATGTGTCCTGAGGGGTTTGGTGAACCCATTATCATTAAAAACTCTTCACTCAGTCCTCACAGTAACTGTTGGATACATGGAGGTTACCCATTTAAGAGATGCTGGGCCCAAGGCTGAGAAGTGCTCCAGGTGGTTAACACAGCTATAGGACAACAGTAGCCACGACTCAGACCCTTACCCCTTCTGCTACCTCCTGAGAGGCTTCCCCTGCGTGGAGAAATGTCCTCCGTCAAGTCTCAATGACCCATATTTCTGTGGGCTCTGCCTTTACCCACACTCTTCTCTGAAGGTGGATTCACTTTGGGAATTGAGAGGGGTGGCAGGTCAGGTCTTGACCCTGGTTGGGGATTGTAGTGCACACCCCAGCCCCCCAAGGTCTGTGCCAGTTTATAACATCCAAGCACATCCGTGTCAGGGTGCTGCTCAGGAGGAGGACAGCTGTGGGGCACCCACCGAAGGGGCAGGGGGGCCTTTCATTCTCTGCTTGTGTGGGTGCAACAAGGCCACATTCTCTCCACGTGACAGACACAGGCCTCCAGAGGAGTGGCACTTGAAGCTGTCAATGCAGACATCAGAGTCCTGAGTGTCGCACCACCCAGTGCTATCAGAGTGCTGAGAGCCACTCCTGAGAGAAACACAGGCTGCACCACCCCATTTCTGGGCTTACAAGTTATGAAAACATGGCTCCCTTTCCTTTTCATGTTTTAAATATCTTGTTATGGTGCTCACTACCAGAAATTCCTGTTCTCAGAGTACCCTTGGAAGATCTTTGTTATGGCTCGAGGGGCCAGGACCTGAGCTCTTTTCCCCCTGGTTTTGGA